TTTTCTCTTTCTGTATCCAAGAATGAGGAAGGGGGGGGGAAGAAAATTTAAGCAAAAGCAGAAGTAAAGAAAATGAACAAATACATAAACCAGCCCACAGAATGAAACCAGAATGAAGTTACATCTAGTTTCCCCTAAAACTGTAACTATGAAGCCTTGTACAGTCTGGACACCAAGCAGGTGGAGAGACTTGTGCCGGTCTTCTAGGGGATGAGCTTGGAGGGTGCAGTGGGCAGGGCTTGGTGTAATAGCTTCGTGCTCCACTAGGTGGTGCTACTTAGCTTAATGGGGTGGATCAGTGTGGCCTGAGTGCGCATGTGCAGGAGAGGCGGAAATGGCTTCACCCAACTGCCTAGCCGCTGGTGTAGGAACTTCGTGCTCTCATGGACTCGTCATCAAGCATACCTCCTTTGTCTCAGGCCTCCGTCCACTCCCCACCTCTACCCTGTCCAGGTCCAAGCTGTCCGCCTGGCAGGCGGCAACCCCCTCCAGAGTTTTATCTCAAATGGAGTTGTTTCAAAACCTCACACTTCAGAGACCCCTGCAGCTTGGACCTGTGCCAACTCTCTGGGCGAATCTCACTGAGCAATGGCCAGGTGCCCACTTGCCCCAGAAAACGTTCGTGCGACTGCTCAGCAGCAGCAGTTCAAGCACTATGGCAAACCACAACACAGCCAGCACCGGGTTTCACCTCACTCTGGCATCTTTGTCCCAGTACCAGCAAATGTGGCTGCTCTCTGGGGTCTGCTGGGATCTATCCCCACAGGGAGGCCGACCGGCCTCTACCACCAAATGCACTCCAAACAGGGGAACTGCTTCTCCCCCATGTGGCACACAGACCTGGCTCCCAGCTCCAGGGGATTCACCCTGCATCCTCACCAGAGCACCGCTAGGCACTGAGCTCCAAAACTTCAGACTCTATACTTCACTGTTTATAGAATCCTGGTGGTAGTGAAACCCCCTCCTTTCTTCCTATCAGTGGTTTTAGGGAACAGATTTCTTGTTAGGTCCCCTGCAAGTGTCTTTCACTCTCTCCTTTCTCTCCGGCTACTTTCAGAAAAGTGCTTCTCTTGCACTCCCAATGCACTGCACACTCCCCCTTTCTCTGTCTTCCGTCCTCAAAACAGCTCCCTACCTTCCATGGCTTTTCTCTCCGCCAGTTAACCTCTCTGCACCAGGTACTTGCCAAGCTTTGCAGCTCAAGTTAGGCATATTGTGTTAATCCTCTGATCAACTTCCTAGGGCTTCAAAATCTTTTGGTGCTGATCTAGCTGCGTTTCAGGGATGAGACGAGCTCAGGGCCTCTATGCTGCTCTGCCAACTCAACTTGCTCCTCAAGATTCATTCATTTTACAATACGTGTCCGTGCTTCATTCCTTTCTGGGGCTGAATAATTGTCCCTCCTGTGTATATGCTGCACCCTGTGCATCCATCCATGCACTGGGGGACACTTAGAACATTTCCCTCTTTTGCGGGATCTGCACAGTTCTGCAGCTGACATTCATGTGCACACATCAGAGTGTTTCAATTTACGTAGGAATGGAACACTCGGGTCATATTATAATCCTGTTTAACATTTTGAGGAACCACCAAACATATTTTCCACGTCAGCTGCCCTAGTTTACATTCCCACCAGCCAAGCACAGGGTTCCAATTTCTGCACATCCTGACTGCCGCTGCTTCCCTGGATTCTGGCTCCTCACCATCCTCGTGAGTGGCAAGTGGTATCGTCTTGCGTTTTGTCTTGTTTCCCTTCACGGTTAGTGAGGTTGAGGATTTTTGCACGTGTTTATTAGACATTTGTGTGTCATCCTAAAATAAATGTCTATTCAAGGTTTTGCTCACTTTCTAACTGGGTCGAATTTTTGTTATTCAGATATAAGCGTTCTTTGCGTATTCTGGATGGTAAAAATCTTGTCATACATTTGATTTACAAATACATTCTCCCATTTCATGGGAGAAATTTAATCTCTTCCTATTGACCTTTAATATGCAAAAGATTTTTATCTTCCTGAAGCCTAATTTACCCACTCTCTCTTGTGCTCAGCCCACCTACAAGCCAGAAAATTCTGATGGCTCTAACTTCAAATTCTAACTGGGCTCCAACCTCCACATCATTGCCATGGCTACCAACCCAGTGTGATCCACCACCTTGGCTGACATCATCTTCCCAGTGCCTGCTGTCATGGTAACAGAAGGATCCTGTGTAGGTGCCTAATCAACTCATCTTGAGGGTCCATGCCACCCACCACCAAAGTCAGTCTTCTTGGCTTACCAGCACATGTGACCCACCCCATCTTCTCCTCTCACGTCTGCTGTGCCTCCTCCCCCCTCACTCTTCTGCGGTGACACTGGCCCTCTGGTGTCCTTCGGATATCCAAGGCCCCCTCCCTCCTCCAGAGTGCATTCGGTACCTGGGGCTGCTGTAACACAGCAGGGGACAGACATTCGTGGTGTCACAACTGAGGTGGCTGGAAGCCTGAGATCAGTTTGTCTGCAAGGTTGGCTCCTTCTAGAGGCTCTGAAGGAGAATGTGTCCCAGGCCTCCCTTCCAGCTGCTGGGGGCTGCCCACAACCCTTTGCATTCCTTGGGGGGTAGACACATCATGCCAATCCCTGCTTCTGTCTCATGTGGTCAAGGCCTGTCTTCAGTGCAGGCCTCTACGTCCAAATTTCCCGGTTTTATAAGGACACCCATCATTGGGCCAAGACCTACCCTAATCCAGTATGGCCTCATCTTCATTATCTTCATTACATGTGCAAACACCTGATTTCTAGGTAAGACTATATTCTGAGGTTACATGGGACATGAAACTTGGGGGCTACAATGCTGGACCCAGAGTATGTGTATGCCTGTACTGCACATACCTTATCATCAACTTAGGTATCAACTTGCAGTGCTGTCTGGAATCCTTACTTTACTATTTTGGTTTCCTAGTCCTTGCAACCACATACAGATCTCTCTGAAATATACACATATATTTCAGACTATAAATCCATGGATATTTCTGAAATACAGTATATAAACTCCACATACATTTTCCTTTCATCCCTTCACTGTACTACAATGCTACTGTGAAATCTACACATAGATAATTATGCTTCTGTTCTTTAACTGTGGGCAAGGCCAGCAGGCCTATTTCCCAGAATCCCTGTCTGTATGGTCCTAGGTGACAACTCACCAATGGCCAAACTGCATGAGTATTAGAAGTACAAGTGAAGGGGCGCCTGGGTGGCTCAGTCGGTCAAGCATCCGACTTTGATTCAGGTCATGATCTCACAGTTTGTGAGTTCAAGCCCCGCATCGAGTTCTCTGCTGTTCAGTGCAGAGCCTGCTTGGGATCCCCTCTCCCTCTCTCTCTGTCCCTCTCCCACTCACGCTCTACCTCAAAATAAATAAATTTTAAGGTGGCTCAGTCGGTTCAGCGTCCGACTTCAGCTTAAGTCATGATCTCAGTTTGTGGGTTCGAGCCCCACGTCAGCCTCTGTGCTGACAGGTAGCTCAGAGCCTGGAGCCTGTCTTCAGATTCTGTGTCTCCCTCTCTCTCTGACCCTCCCCTGATCATGCTGTCTCTCTCTCTCAAAAATAAATTAAAAACATTTAAAAAAGTTTTTTAGATAAATAAACTTTAAAGAAAAAAGTACAAGTGAAGATGCCCTAGTATAATGTTGGGGTCACCATACAGATGGACCAATGCATAGGAGCTAGTCTGGCAACAGCCTGCTGCCCATTTTTCTGAATAGTAGTCTGTCATTCAAGCATGTACCCAAACTAAACAACAAACTTTCCCCTTCCGTTTTCTTAGCAGTCCTGTGTTCCACTCATGATCTCCCCCATCATGGTACCAATTCTATGGTCAGAAACCCATAGCTTTGGGGTTTACAACCAGTCACATCATCCTGTGTTCCACTCATCATCTCCCCCATCCGTGGTACAGATTCTATGGTCAGAAATCCATAGCTCTGGGTTTTCCAACCAGTCACACCATGTCCCCCAGGCTCCCGATTCAGGCTGCCATGTTTGTTGATTCTCTTTGGTGCTCTGACTCCTCTCTTCTCTAGATCATACCATATTTGTGTAAGATAGCATTTGTGGGTGCCAGGCTGACTCAGGAGGTGGAGTATAAAACTCCTGATGTCAGGTTAATGAGTTTAAGCCCCACATTGGCTGGAGAGCTTACTAGTAAAAAAAAAAAGGGGGGGGAGGGATCATTTGTATAGCAAACATCCATCTTCTCAATAATTTCACAAGATCAGGGACCTTGATTCCAGGACAACAGATACAAAGGCCCAGCTAAAAGGCACATGGAATTTTGACTTTCTGATGCTTTGTGAGGTGTCTACACTGCTCATCCTTCTGTGTGAGAAATTAGCACCTTCTGCATATCTCAGGGTGAATGTGGCAGTTCTCCATTTACACAGAGCTGAATCCAAGTCATTAGTAGATGTTGACTTACTCTACTTATGTGAGATTAAAAAATGTGCATTTGGTTTTTTGAGGTTTTTTTATTTTGAAAAATTAACGTTTATTTATTTTTTGAGAGACAGAGAGAGACAGGGCATGAGTGGAGGGCAGAGAGGAAGACAGACTCCGAAGCAGGCTCCAGGCTCTGAGTTGTCAGCACAGAGCCCAACGTGGGGCTCGAACTCCCAGACCGTACGATCACGACCTGAGCCGAAGTCAGACACTCAACCAACTGAGCCCCCTAGGCGCCCCACAAGGTGCACTTGTTTACTCAAACAAATGATTCTATGTGTTTCCCAGGAACCCCTAAACTGCATTTAAATATCACTTGTATACTAACAAATGTAACTCTTTATGAGAGAGATTATATCAAAATATCCCTTTGCGCTTAGGGAGTATCAAATCAGCCCTGTTAGTTCTCATTTAGGACAATTCTTGGTTAGTATTTTCATGTATTCTGAGTCATAGTACCAAGTGCACAGGATTTTAGGAATTTTTTTTTCTTTCGGGCCAATTTTTAAAATTCTATACTTAGGATTTTTGTCATTACCATGAGTGGAGCACATTACTAAGACAATGACTTGGTCAACGCCCTCCACGCCCAGACCACCAGGGCCACACCTGTCGTCAGAGAGGATCGCACTGGATCAGGACATGGGATGAACACAACTCATGAAGACGGGCAGAGATGTTGGTGAGAGGGACACACTGTGACATGTACCACATGAGGATGTGCTCTGACGGGACGCGTGCAGACGTGTGAAGGACGGTGAGGGTGTGGGAAGGGCTCCTTTACTCTGGACCAGATGCTGGCAGGAAGGACATGTGAGTTTATGTCAGAGATTTCCACGTGTGTTAGAAAGCAGGCGGGAGGCGGTGCAGCTCAAACTATGAATCAAGAGGCAGCAGCACGTAAGCAAGAAGCGGGGATATTTGTGGGTTTTGTGGACTCTGGTTTCAGCCTCTTTACACACATGAGCACATCATGGGCTTCACGTTCAGGATGCATCACAGACAAGGAAGTGCCTCATCTGAGAACAGGCTGGGGGTGGTGGTGAAATGATTTCTGCTCCGTGACAATGTCACAGCCCAATACCGAGTACAGGGCCAGCCTCCACCGTCTGAGGCAATGACTGCCATTCTCATTGACCATGTGAACACTGACATGCTGCCTACTCATAGCCAGCAGTGTGTCAAAGTTCTTCCATAAAGAAACCCAGCATTTATACATCCAGTTGCTCCTCAGAAAATGCTAGCAGGTAATACTGTTTTTATCTCCTTGTATGAGTTAACTGTGACCTATAAATGCAGAAGATTTTCCAAAAATCATAAAGCAAGAAAGGAACCAACTTAGGATCATGATTCAAATCCAGCCTTTCCTTCCCAGACTCTATACTCAGCGTCAGGTGCTGATTACTGACCCTATTTCATGTGGTACACACTCAGCTCAAAGCACACAATTCCATTCCACGCTGATCCAGGCGCTGCCGGCACTTGCCCACATGGCCGGCGGTCCACCCTCCTGCTCATGCTCACTCCCGTGGTGCTTCCCGGGGTCACCCCATCTCTACACGCACAGACTGTCCCTCTCAGACTTGAAGATAATACACTGTTGTCCTGGGCCTTCCTATGACCCCTGCTGTCACTGCGAAGACCGGCCAACCCCTAAGGGCCACAGAACAGGTGCACCTTCACGGCCTCTACACATGTAGTCAGTGGTTGTCCCTGCAAAACTGCGGAGTCAGAATCAGAAGGGCACCAGAGAGAAAAGGAACATCACTTCACAAGGAAAACCTCATCTAGGTATTTGCAATAGTGAACTATTTGTACATGTTTGAAATCAGGGATTTCATAGTCTGCTATGAAGAAACAAAAGTCCCACGGAAAACGTTGCATACGGACTATTTCCCATCGGTGCAGAAATCGCCATGTTGTTGAGACCCACACCTTCCATGTTGTTAGGTCGGTGTAACGTTGTCCCCATGACGAGGCCATATTGGTGAACTGAGGACAGAAGACAGGAAAGCCCATTCCAACAGTGGTTGGAATGACTAAACATAAGCATTACTCGATAAAGACACAGGTATCTTTATTTTCCATTGACACTACGAATGTCTGTACATTTCCTTTACCATTCCTTTCCCCAGGTACCAGTGGGACCACTCCCCATACACATCATCTCAGACGTGAAGCCCAACCAGCTCCGCCCGAAATACAACCAGACTCATATCCCACCCGGTCAGCCTTTATCTCTGTGGCCACTGGGGCAGATCAACAGAAGCATGAGTGGTCTGAAGGAAAAGAGAAAGGCTTGGCCCATTTTTCTTCCACTAGAAATAATACAAGGAGACAGCACTGGATGAAGCATTATGAACCAATTACGCATCCATCACAGTTAGAAATGTCCTGTTCAGCACAACTCCCAGCAAGGAGGAGGAAGGGAGGAAGGATACGTTTCCATTTGGGGATCAATTTTCCATTAACTTTCTAAACTACGTGGACAACACACATTGGGAAGCAGCATTTCCAGAAATTATTAGTTTCCTCAAGGCAGTTATGCCTGGAGCTCCATGTCATAACTCACTCTCACCACCACTAAGACTCACCACACCAACAACACTGTTTTTTTCTAGCTGTTGACAGACAAGTAGGGAAGATAAATGTGTCTGGCTCCCCTCCCACACTCTTGGGCTGCAAGACCATGACTATGGGAGGAGGCCACTACCATGAGGAGTAAATCATTTTTTACAATTTGTTCAATGTTTATTTATTTTCGAGAAAGAGACAGAGTACAAGAGGTGGAGGGGCAGAGAGAGAAGGAGGCATAGAAACCAAAGCAGGCTCCAGGCTCTGAGGTGTCAGCGTAGGGCCCAACGCAGGGCTCGAACCCACAAACTTTGAGATCATGACCTGAGCTGAAGTCAGATGCTCAACTGACTGAGCCACCCAGGTGCCCTATGAGTAAGTCATTTTAATTAAAAAATCAGGACAGCTATAGAGGAACTAAAGAAATACACATCAGTAGAAAAATGTCATAATGTGTATGTACTTAGTACTATTAACTAAGAATATATGTTTCTAAAAACGTAGGTGCCCGGGTGGCTCAGTTGGTTGAGCGCCCAACTTCAGCTCAGGTCATGATCTCATGGTTTGTGGGTTCAAGCCCCGCATCGGGCTCTGTGCTGACAGCTCAGAGCCTGGAGCCTGCTTTGAATTCTGTGTCTCCCTTGCTCTCTGCCCCTCCCCTGCTCACTCTGTCTTTTTCTTTCTCTCTCAAAAATGACTAAACGTTTAGAAAGAAGTATGCAAGAGATCTGAAAACATTGGTAATGAAATTTCTATGAAGCAATGTAGAGAACCATGTTTGACCAAAAAAAAAAAAAAAATCACATTGTTTTGAGTCGCATATTAAAAATGACAGAATTAAACACTGGGAAATCACACATCACAAGTCATCGAGCACACTGGGTTTCTCTCTTAGACAGCAGTCAGCTATAGGGGAAAACTCCCACAAACTGCCAAATACACTCACAGGTGCTAATTCCAATCATGGAACTATCCAGAAAGAAGTGGTGCAGGGTCAGTGCAGGCTTTCTACAGCACAACCAGGGACGGGGTTTCCTGCATCTGTGGCTGCAGCATTCAGCCTCTCAAGGGGTGGGGGTGGGGAGGACACAGCTGTGCCGAGAGGGACAAGGTGCTACCACAGAAATCACGTATGAGGTAAAGCATGAGGATTAAGGGGTCACAGGAGAGACATTACCAAAAATGACAGCCTGAAGAGACACCATGGACACAAAGGGTCACAGGGCAACACAAAGATCCGTGTGGACCAGAAAGCCAAGATGGTTCGTCACAGGACAGCTCGTGGAAGTCTCTGGAACGTGCCAACAAAAACTAACGTCAAACTTGTGTTCGGTTGGGGGCTGTTCCAGACGGCAGACCAGAAGCCAGGACGAAGCACTGGGACTCAGGCCCATCCGGGTCCCCATGCGTCTCTGTTCCCCGGCGGCACGGAAGGCCGGAGACTCGTGGTTCCTCACTGCTGCTCTCCGAGCCGCACAGCTTCCCTTCTCAGGGCCTTCCTTTCAGAGCCGCACGGAGAAGGACCCCGGGACACGCGGTCTCCCACCTCACCAGGCTCACAACGAAACCCAGCAGAACCAGCCAGACACCAGCCCTCATCTTCACGCCACAACAGTTCTCTTTTTATTTATTTATTTTGAAAGAGAGAGTTGTCAGGGCAGAGCCTGATGCAAGGATCAGTCCCACAAACCGCAAGATCATGACGTGAGCCAAAATCAAGAGTCAACGCTTAACCCACCGAGCCACCCAGGTGTCCCCAACAAGGTTTCTCTTCGTTAACTCAATGGGTCATGACTGATAAAAAACCAAGATCAAGGGCGATGAGTGGAGGTCAAACTACAAACATAATGAGGGGAGACTGTCCTCTCCCAACATCCTTGCATGTTTACTAACGTCCGTGGGGCACACGGGTGGGGCACGCAGCAGCAACAGCACATGTGGAGATCCAACTTTTGATAATAAAGACCACGAGGAGCAGCACATTCAGAGTCAGGAAATTCTAGTCTCTGCACCAGAGAACGAGCTATATGTACAGACCACTTATCACTCCTGGGTCCAGAAGATATCGTCATGGAAACGAGACACGTTTTCTAGAACCATACAATCTTTTCATGTCTGAGAAAACAAAATATATTTCATACAGAAAACGGGGAGAGTCAGCAATATTTTATCTTGGGTGTTCATATCAGCAGCATGCAGTGGAAATAAATACAGCAGAGATCCCTGTTACTCCCAAGCCCCTTGAGGCATAAACAAATTTATAACAAATAAATACTGCCGTCCAGCCCTGAGGTTTTATGTACAAAACAAATGAGGTGCTTTGCCTGAAGGTTCTCCAACATTCCTTACATACAGTACGTTTCCTGCCCGTGTGTCTGACTGGACTTAGAAGACAGGAGGGAAAACAGCCTGAATGTGTATTCAGGGTTTCTCCTCCGTGTGCGTCTTCACGTGCGCCCGCAGGTTTGTGGGATACCGGAAGGCCTTCCCGCAATGCGAACACTCATAGGGTCTCTCCCCCGTGTGCGTCCTCACGTGCGCCCGCAGGTTTGCGGGGTACCGGAAGGCCTTCCCACACTGCTGGCACTCATAGGGTCTCTCGCCTGTGTGCGTCCTCACGTGGACCCGCAGGTTTGCGGGACACCTGTAGGCCTTCCCGCACTGCTGGCACTCGTAGGGTCTCTCCCCCGTGTGTGTCCTCACATGAGCCCGCAGGTTCACAGGATACCAGAAGGCCTTGCCGCACTCCTTACACTCGTAGGGTTTCACTCCGTTGTGTTTCCTCGCGTGTACTTGCAGGGAGGAGTGACAGCTGAAGGCTTTCCCACAGTGCAGACACTCATAAGGTCTCTCCTCCGTGTGGGTCTTGACATGCGCCCGCAGGTTCGCGGGGTACCAGAAGGCTTTGCCGCACTGCTGACACTCATAGGGCTTCTCCTCACGGTGCGTTCTCACGTGCTTCTGCAAGGACGAGGACCAGCGGAAGGCCTTCCCGCACTGCGTACACTCGTAACGTTTCTCCAAGCTGTGTGCTCTCACGTGACCTTGGAGGGAGGAGTGGCGCGTGAAGGCTTTCCCACACTGCTGGCACTCAAAGGGTCTCTCCCCCGTGTGCGACCTCACGTGTTCCTGAAGAGACGTGGAACTGCTATACGCTTTCCCGCACTCCTTACACACGTAGGGTTTCACCCCACTGTGCATCCTCACGTGCCTCTGGAAATATCGGGGGTGTCTGAAAGCCTTCCCGCACTCCTTACACTCATAGGGCCTCTCTTCGCTGTGTGTTCTCACATGCTCCCGGAGGGATAAGGAACAACTATAGGCTTTCCCGCACGACGTACATTCATAGGGCTTCACTCCACTGTGCGTTCTTACATGTCTTCGAAAGTATTTGGGACAACTGAAGGCTTTCCCACACTGCTGACACAGGTACGGCCTCTCCCCGGTGTGCGTCATCATGTGTCCCTGCAGGGATGCAGGGTACTTGAATGTCTTGCCACACTCCTTACATTCGTAGGGCTTCTCTCCAGTGTGTGATCTCACGTGTTCTCGAAAATACGACAGGCAACTGTAGGCTCTCCCACATTCCCGACATTCATAGGGTCTCTCCCCAGTGTGAGTTCTCGCATGACGCGTAAGGTAAGAGAGATATAAGAAGGTTTTCCCACAAACGTCACACGTATGGATGCTCTGTCCACAGGGACCTTGCACGTGACCCTGAAAGGAGGCCGTGCAGGTGAAAGCTTTTCCACATTTCTTGCACTCCAGAGAGGTATTACTACTGAGACTCTTCGTATACGTCTCTGATGCCCTCCCAGTGTCCTGACCTTCACAGGGTTTCTCTACAAGGTCTGTGTCTATGTGAGGGCTGAGGCTCGCGATGGAGCTACAGGCCGGCCCACATTCCTCACCGGGACTAGGTTTGAGTCCTGGCTGGAATCTTCCTGGCTTCTCTAGGAAGGAACCATCTGCGAAGGCTTCTCTACACTTAGCGCATTCACAGGATTTGCCTCCAGTGGGACACCCCTCACGCACAGTAAGACTTGTAACCGGGTTCAGGGATTCTCCACATTGATCTCCTTCAATACGTTCACAGAGACTCTCCACCAAAGGACTTCTGTTCAAAATAGGAAGGCACAGGGTTAGGGGAGGATGCTTATAAGTGATCTCTCTACTAGTGCCCTACTGACGTTTGCTAACGGTTATTAGACTAGTAGTAGCCATTTCCACCGCCTACACTGCTGTCAAGTGGAAGAAGTTATATGCTAAGGAGAAGGGCCCAGAAATGCCCTAAGTGTCAGGGTTTCTTACATGTGGGTTCTCCTGATACACGTTTTTGAGCTGAATTATGTTTCTGACGATCAACATTGACATCACATTTATTAAGGTATTATATCGTGTAATTCCAACTACACAATTATTGGGCCAGGTTTATACTTTTCCTTTAATTTCAAGTTAGTTGATCAATCTGGGAAGATCCCCCTTTCTCCTGTGGGGAGAGGCACTCACCTCAAACGCCTCTCCTGGGATTGGGACTGATCGCCAATGTTATGAAACACCGGGTTTTCTCGAAAAAGAGCCCAGGGATCAGTTCTTGTAAATCTTACTATTTTCTCTTCACGGG